GTAGCAGCTAGGACCACCAACACCGCAGCCACACGCACACAGACAGCGGGCACGCGAGATAGATAGAGTGACCACCGCAGGCGAAAGTGTCAGTGAAAAATGGCGTCCTAAATTCCTCTTCTTTTTTTTCGACGAGCTATCTTCCTGAGAGCCTTATGTGCGTACTTGACGATTGAAGTTTTGTAAGTTTTGAACGAATACTAATGTACCTTATGTTAGACCACAGCAGATAAATTTAATGGTTGACATCCTCTGCAGACTCCAAATTTAATGTGAGCGGGCGAAAAAAAACCAAGGCGGGCCGAAAAAAACAAGGTTCCTACATTTAAAAATTTTGACTCAATCATTGTACAAATGGTTTGGATTCAGTTGGAACATCACATATACACAGCCAGCATCCGATATCACAAAGTAAGAAACAAAACATTAAGTCAGAGCCTTTTCTTGTCTCCTCTCTTCATAGTTATCTGCTACCCATCTTCCGACATGGCAACAGACATCTTTGCCCATTTTCGGCATGTTGACCACTGCCATTTCTTGTTTTTTTCTTTTTCAAAGTCAGGCGAAAATGAATGCGCGCGGTGATTTTTAGCATACTGTATTAGCTGTTTGGCTACCAATATTCTCCATTGTTTACGTTTTTCTATTTCCAACATGCAATCACAAGACGTGGTGACGGTCCACTCAAGTTCTTTCAACTGATATTAGTGCCGCCACCAACACAGGGGACCATACAATACTCATTTTTCACCTGAGCGAAGTGAGGAAAGTCGTATAAAGTGTTCAAAGCGAATATTGTAGTCATTATATTTATCTGCATACTAAGTTGAAACCACAATGTATATTGACCCTCATGGACCAGAAATCCCAAAAATTCTGATTTTTGGAAAATGGTTACTGGAAGGGCCCTGGGCTGATTTTTAGGGTACCACCCAGAAAAAAAAAGACTCATCTTGGGGCCCTCGCCTGTTTCTGCAGTTTTAAATGCCCAAAGTATGAAATGCTGATTTAAATGTGCTAATGTGAAGCAGTATGTGTCAATATCAAAAAGATTGCCCTATTCAGAATATTTCCAGCTTTGCTGCCTTGAAATCTCATTGGATGCCTTTATACACGTACAGTAAGAAGTTGTCCACAGGTTTGCGTCTTGAAGGGCTTTTAAGGTAAAAGTGGCAGTTCAAGAGCTCACAGCATGTCTTCGTGGACGTTTAAAGTCGAGGTCAGGGTCAGTATACAGCCCAATAAACGTTTAAGACCTTTTAGCTAATGGTTTACTCCATAAACTGACTGCAGCGTTTCCTCTGAAAGATAAGATTAAGATTCTTTATTGACACAACAAAAAAGTACAGAGACTTTTGTATGGTCTTCTACAACTTAACTAAAGATCTAACAAAGCTAAATACATGTGTGGATAACGTCATCTTACGTACAGAGTATATGTATGATGTAACAATAAAGGTTAACTATTCTCTAACATGTGTTCTCAAAGATCGAAACATTCTTTAATGTATTTTCCTATTTGAACACTGTATTGGTTATTTCCCCTGAGAACGTAGTTGCATTTATCTATAGGATCTAACGTATTGAAATCAATTGAACAAGCGGAAAGAAAGGTGAACAGCAATAAGCGCTTATCATTGTATAGTGTACAGTCCATTATAAAATGGTGCTCATTTTCAATCATGTTTAGAAAAGAAACCTACAGTGGGTGTCACTGGAAGACAGACTAAAAATGTCCAGATTATGCATGATGTACAAAATGAGTAATAAACTGGTGGACGTATCTGTATCTGTATATGTGTAGCCGGTATAACAGCCTCTCGGCGTAACACATCAGCTTCGCAGGCACGCGGCACGGTGGCAGCTGACTACATTTCACCGATCGACTTGTTACACCTAACCCTTGAACATCTAACTCTAGACATTGTTTAAAGCTATCTAATAACAATGCCCCTACTGTACTTGGTGACAGCGAGTTCCACTCTGCGATAGTTCTAGGAAAGAATGAATTCTTGAACACCTCAATCCTTGGTTGATAATTCTGGTACTTGAAGGTATGGCCATTTCTTGTTCTCTTCTGGACTGGTATTAGGTACTTAGTAGTTGGGACGTCCACCAGTTTATTAGTCATTTTGTACATCATGCATAGTCTGGACATACAAAGAAATGGTGCGTTGATGGTCAATGACCCATTTTTGGCAGAGATTTTTTTCTATCTCCAGTGAAGATAGGACCTCGGCCATCTGTACATGTTTTCTATCACCCTGAAATGTCGTGATATTCCGTCAGAAATTCACAGCGCAGCTTCGCGAGGCGGTGTCACATACCGTACATGCTGCACACGCCGGCCTGCGATGGAAACAAGTCGTTTATCTCTGCTAGTAGACAGCAGGCAAGACTGGAGTGAGGAACAGGCCTAAAGCCCCTGTTACATATAGCAAAATATGACCTCCAGAACACTGTTGAACTCCCCTCAACCATGGTTAGGAGTAAGTCGTCAGTAAGGTCGGCTGGTGGGCTCGTGTAGCGTAGCGGCAGTGTTCGACTCACAACCAAGAGGTCCCGGGTTCGAGTCCTGACATGCCACCGATCTTGTGCCCTTGGGAAAGGCACTTTACACGACTTTCCTCACTTCACTCAAGTAAAAATGAGTATTGTCCTGTCCTGTATTTATGCTCTGCGTTGGTGGCGGCATGAAATAAGTTGATATAACTTGAGTGTGCTGTCACCATGTCTAGTCATGAAATGTTGGAATAAAAAGAAAAGGTCGACTTGTTTTCGACAAAAAAAAGTTGGCTACGGTTCGGTTGAGCCTGCGAAATGTTTCAGAATCTTTAAAACATTCGTGTGGTGGTTCGGCCATGGTAAGTTGATAGTTGGCTGGTGTTCGGGAGTTGGCCAGCAATGTTCAGGGCGTATTCGGTGGTCAGATTTAACTCATATTTAACTCAAATTCGATTTGATTAGCATAGAAGGCGTGGCCTAAAACTGGTCAGTATGCTCCCGAACTTCAGCCAACCTTGGTTAGTTGGTTGGTGGAAGGTTCTGAACGTGCGCCAGGGTCTTTAGTTAGATTTTTTTTGAACGGAGTGGTTCAATGCAAGGCCTGTACGACCACTTCTCGGCATTGAACGAGACAGATGAGAGAAACATGGCTATGTCAAGAGATGGCGGTGAACGTTTGATTTGAAAGCCTGTAGATTGTAGGTTGGTGGGAAACACTTGTCAGGGAGGGAATTCCAAAGCTTGGCCGTACGGGGAAAGAAACTGTCACTGAAAAAAAAATTCAAACAAGGAAATTGGACGGTGCAGTTGTGTGAGCTAGTGGAAAACCTTGTGGAACGCTTAAAAGTTCCGAGTGGTGGAACTAATTCTTCCGGATTGGAGTCGCGATCGTGCCTCGGATCTCTTCCAACAAATCTTAAAACTTCCTTCGGTTAAAAAACATCCTTCTCCATTCCGGTGATAATATTTCTAAGACCTCCGGCTTCCATCCATCCATCCACACCGCGCCGACACATTTGTACAGGCTATTTGACATATCTTGGGAACCAAATTACCGAGGTACAAGGCCCCGTAGCCATAACACGGTTCCGCCAATTAGTATCAAAGGCCACAGCAAGTACATTTTATGGATGACATCCTCCTCAGACTCCAAATCTAATGCGAGCGGGCGAAAAAAACAAGGCGGGCCGAAAAAAGGTTCTCACATTGTAAAATTCTGACTCAATCATTGTACAAATGGTTTTGATTCAGTGGGAACATCACAGATACACAGCCAGCATCACATATCACTGCATCAAAGTAAGAAACAAAACATTAAATCAGAGCCTTTTCTTGTCTCCTCTCTTCATAGTTATCTGCCATCCACCTTCCTGCATGGCAACAGACACCTTTGCCCATTTTCGGCATGTTGACCACTGTCAGAAGGCAACAAAGTTTCTTGGTTTTTTTTTTCGAAAATCAGGCGAAAATCAATGCGCGCGCTGATGTCATCCATAAAATTTACTTGCTGTGGCCTAACCCGCATCATGCCGATGACATGCCAACCTTAACGTGCCTCAGGAATTCACTACAACGTCAACACCACGCTCAATTTCACGCCTTATAGAAACAGTTTGGTAGAATTGCCTGACTTAGTCGTGTGTGGTCACAATTGTTGGAGTAAGAATGCCCTAGAGAAAGCTAATTTAATTAAGGTTGAGTAATGGTGAAGTCGTGAGAACTTATCTCAGATGTCCATAGAATAGAGGACCATTTTATAATAGAGAATGTAGACTGTACAGCAATGAGAGAGTCTGTACAGCAATGGTGAGATAATTATTTTGGTGGTTTATGAGGTGGTTATCGCACTTGACCAGGGATTGTATCACCATATACACCGAGGATAAGGCGGGGCATTAACGTTATTGTCATATAGAATATTCAACTGACACAGCTATTTGACACAAATCCCTTTATAGAATTTCTTCATTGCTGAAAAAAACCTCTCACATTCTATGTTACGTGAAACAAGATGGTATGGTCAGAAAAACAGACCATATCTAGGCAATCATTTGCGGTGACCATGTGACATTGGAAGAGTATCACTTTCAGTGGGGCTGTCAAAAATTATGTTTAGTCTTTTTCTGTTTAGATTTCATTTATATCTTTTTGATTGTGTTTTTTTTTTAATAAGTTAGTCGAAATAAACTACAATATACGTTTTCTAATTGATAAATACTTCTCTACAAGTCTTGACACTACTGTTAGTGTTCTGTCCCCTATATAATGGCACGGTCCAAAAAGTGGTCAGTTATTCTAATAACCGACTACTTTTGAGGTTACGGCCTGATAACCAAGAGCAAAGAGAGCGCTCTGAGTGATCGATCTGGCTATATGGTAATTGTTATTCTTCTCTCTTGGCTTGGCTTCGTTGTCCGAGCCTTGTTATTATTACATAGAAAACAATACCTCCGCACACTGAATTAATCCTTACGCTTTATTCTTTTTTTCTCCAGGAAACACGTCTGCCAGGACCAGACACAAGTCAGCATCCCCAAACTGTGCGTGGACTCATTCGCGCAGCCGCAGTACACGCCATACATGACTGTGTGCGATGGGATGAGACTCTGCAGCTCGTACAAGTAAGTAATAACGGCTTCTTCCCTGAGGCGTCGCCAAAAATGTGTAAGCTGTATGAATGAATGAATAAACTTTATTGCTCGACAGTTGTACATGGTACAATGTATTGGATCAATAACAATGTGGCTGTATGGATGCCATACCGAACACTGCCGAAGCCCCCCCCCCCAGTAATGGTTATAGTTAGGTAGGTATAATAAAGAGCAGTGGACCTAGTATGGATCCCTGTGGAACATCATGTTGGAAATTGCTGGGGATAGAACTGAATTCAGGCATGTGCGCCTGAGAGAGCCTAACCTCCACCAGGCCTTTCTACGGGAATACAGATCGTAGAATTCGGGGGAAAAAAGAGTAAAATTGGCCAAGGGAGTCCGGCCACGAGGAGGTAGTTTCTTTCCCTCCGAAGTGCGGCAAGTCAAACCTACAAGGCGCCAAACTCCCCTGGCAATTATTCTCCTATATATAGCCAGCGTAGTGAGTCTGGTAGAGACTAGAGTAGCGGTATGACGGGTGACTAGAGAAGAAGAGCCAACCTTGGTCTTCTAGTGTTCAGGCGATGGTTCTGAATGTGTGACAGGGCAAGCTCACACTGTGGGGCAAACTTTACTAACTCTAACCCACGTCAAGAATAGATTCATTCCCCCTGTCTCCTCAATGAGTAGAATTGATGGCTTCGGTAATTAGCCACGCGACCGGGTCATGCTCTAAACATCCCGTCCGCCGGGGTCCGTGAAACATGAACCGGGCCGTCCATCCACTCATCACCGCCTACAGAACATGCCGCTACCTGCTGCTGACTCACACCGGGGTCTGCAGCAGGGCTCTAGCCAGCAGTGTTTGGGGCGTGTGCGGGAGTCAAATTTGACTCAAATTTAACTCAAATTCAATTCAACTTGTATAGAAAGAACATCCGAATAAACTTTCCAAAGCTTTACACAAGAACAACTTCATTTACCGTTTTAACCGTTGTCGACTCTTCTGTAGAAGATCGGAGTGGGAGGATGTCACCAGTGGTGTGCCACAAGGGAGTGTGTTCGGGCCATAGAGTAAAGTTGCTAGGATCCCCCCATGTAGCCCCTCTGACGGGACCACCCCGTAGGGTCAAGCCGATTGTGTGTTTCCGGTGGTCTGTTTAACATAAAACCGTCCCGTGTTTACACGTGAATCACGGAAATAGTGGAAACCACTCAACGTCGTGTCTGCGTCCGTGTCTAGTGCCTACCAGACTAACTACGCTGGCTATATATAGGAGAATATTTGCCAGGGGAGTTTGGCCGACTTGTAGGTTTGACTGGCCGCGCAGGAGGGTAAGAAACTACCTCCCCGCTCCCGGACTCCCCTGGCCAATTTTACTCTTTTTTTGCCGAATTCTACGATCTGTATTCCCGTAGAAAGGCCTGGTGGAGGCTAGTCTGTGTCTGAAAGTCTAGAAAGATCACGGCATTCAGTTGACTTTTTCCAGAGAGATACAATGATTCTTTATTGACTCAACAAAAAGTACAGGGACTTTGGTATGGTCTTCTTCAACTAAAGATCTAACAAAGCTAAATACATGTGTGAATAACGTCATCCTACGTACAGAATATATGTATGCGGGGGGGATTTTGAACATTGAACCTTCTGAAATGTAATTTCCTGCGTTTTTGAGAGAATTTCAAAGGCAAAATCAGACTTATACACACCTTTTATTCAATGACGCTTTTTTCTACGATACCAGCCCCGCTAGTACTAGTGATACGAATCAGTCCATCTTTTAAAGAAAAATCTTGGACCTTTAGATAAAAAGTGGACCTTTGTGCCTTATGCCCCCCCC